TCTGTTGGCTGAACTAGCCAGCATGTTCTGCTAATTTTCTCTCGAGGGACTCTACTTCATCCCTTGGTCTTTGCCTTTCCTTTGAATGTGACGGCCTCCATGGATACTGTCTCTTTCCATGATGGATTCAGTGTCAATAACAGCTACACGAGGTTCCAGCATGGGAGGGAGGTCTTCTTCCTCATCTACTACAAGTGCCTACACCTGCTCACACTGCGCAGCAACTATCTGCAACTGTTGTTACCTGTTGACTGACAGTTTCCTTTGTTTGAGACCTGGAATATGTCATTCAAATTTTTTAATGCAGTTAAAGGCAAGTTTGATAAAGATTTGACTTAGCTAACAAAGCAATTAATAACATATGGGTTCATTCTTTGTAACTCTAGGGCTAGGTAGATGGGTTTCTAATAATAGCCAGGATGACGTACATGCATGGTGTTAATAATGATCATACTGACTTGAACTTTACTTTAGTTTTGTTCATTCCACTTTACTTACCTTTTGTACTGTTCTTTGTTTTTTTGACCTTCTTCCCTGGGCTTGTATACAGTGAAAGTAAGATTATGTTAAACCTTGAGCAATTTTTGGATCTGCCAACTTTTTTCCTTTTATGGCAAATAATAGAAGCTAAGGTATCTGACTATCCTATCTTTGAAACAGTATTGATGTAATAAAACATCTTCAGAAACCTGATGGCCTAACTAAGAGTAAAATGTCCTGACTTTTAATTGACTTCCCAGTAGAATTTAGAATTTCTATGACATGATATGCAATTTGTTGTCACGACCATCTCTGACCTTGAAGAAATATGTCTTTTTGACTCTAGGAACCCTGATTTATCAATGTAATATGTTAAATCGTTTCAGTTAAAAGCAAACAAAATACACTCAAAGCATACTCCTGACCACAAAATGACTAAATTTGAGGTACATTTTGTGATGGAGATCAGTAATTCGAAGTCAAATGATCCTTACTGCATTAAGTTCCTTATAGTAAGTTACGGTAACACAAGGGTTATGCCAACCATTTTCTTTGTGACTTTTGTTTCTCTTTAGTTAAAAAATTCATACATTCTGTTCCTCACCATCAGTTTCTAAAATTTATAGAAAAAATAATTGTGTGTATATATATATATATATATATATATATATATATATAAAACAACCGGTGCATGAGGCAGAATATCAACCACTTGATCGGGGCACCGAAACATATGCAGAAGTGGTCAAGAAACACATTCGTCAGAAACTGACCCCAAATAAGTCAGACCCCACAAGAAGAAAAATACCACCTGAAGAACGTGGCCAAAGAAGGTACTATGAAAGATCATCAAGGGACAGAGAGTGGGGCTACAGACGCTGCCAACAACAATCACTAGATTACAACCAGCATGAAGGAGGTAAGCGCCAATCACAACGGCGGTATTTTTT